TTCCCTGACTGAGCTAAGTAGGCTCCTTTACCTGTCTGCTCAGTCTCACTGACTAAGACTTCTGCTACGTTTGCACAACACACCATTTTTTCAGGCCATGCTTTGAGCTGGTTCGATCTGTTCATTACAACGAGTACAGGCGTGACTGCATAACGCCAGCAGTAACCTTTTAAGAAAAGGTCATAACGCCATAAATACAATGTTATGACATAAACTATAAATGTGGAGTTGGATTACTATTTCAGTTTCGTAGTCTTTGGGTAAAGCAACAGTTTCAGTGTTTCAGTCATGTGTAAGGTCCGGTTGATGCTTCAATATTTTCTGACCACTTTTGTTATCGTTCCTACTCGTTTACATGAATTTTTGTGCAGTTTGCGTTCAGGATAGGATCCATTATAACTATAACAACGGAGAACTAGCGGAAACTGACGCTGGGAATATGAATTATGCCTGAATAACGCTGAAAGGTTACAAACAATCGTTTGAAAATGCGTTCTTTCATCGCTTAAACCCTCTTCTGGTCGAAAATAAGTTCATATGTGTGAAAAATGATGCGAAATTGGAGTAACCTGCTTTGGTGATCGAAACGATTGTTTACAGAAAACCAGGTTGCCATTTTCACGCTGACTCGAACAAGGGTGTTACAAATTAGGATGTACACTGAATCATAGGGGAACAGCTCTAAAATCAGCTGATCCTAGAGCCTTTATACAGCAACCTTAGCAAAAAAGCACGCAATCGTGTCATAATCAGCTCCACACAGTTCCAAAGTGGACGCTGATTTCATATACGTCGTACAATCTCCTTTTTAGTAATTATCATCAATCCAAACTAAGCGAAAAAAAATAGCACCTTGGAGCCTTATTTAGATAAGCAGGACTGAAATGTCAGAAATTTATCATGTTGTAAAGTGTGAATTGCACTAGTGTAAACTACATCAGTGATCGGACAGGGAACGACCTTTCAAAGAAATATAATTGATGTTGCCTCACATACCTTAAAGGAACGCGTAATAAGTATTCTTAATCAGTAATTAATAAAATCTATTTTTTTTCTACTATTAGATTTGAAAACACTACATTTCTTAGTCAGAAAGAACTATTCAGCATGTAGGGTTTTTGCAGTTACCATATACTTTTGGAGAACAATCAGGGGAACGAAATTCTTTGTAGCTTCTTTAAGTTAATTCTTCTTGAAGTAGCGTGACCGCAAATGATCCCTCTCTTGAACAAATGTTTACATTCGTCACTGTAGTGGTAAGAAAAACTACAACTCAAAAGCAGGGAGAGGAAAGTTGTTTCATTGGAACCGATGTGAAAACGGTGATTATGACCAACCCCACACTAATCCTCTTGTAGTCTCAATTTGAAAAGTTAACATTTTATCAAAAATGAATAAAGGCTGATATTTTCGAAAGAAACTGTTTGGGGCTGCGTCGGTGGGAGCAACGAAATAATTTGGATATATCAACAAAGTTGAAATGGTAAATTGGCCACCGTAACGAAGGGCTAACGCTCGAAACGTCAGCTTTTGTAATCGTTACGGTGGCCAATTTACCATTTCAACTTTGTTGATATATCCAAATTATTTCGTTACTCCCACCGACGCAGCCCCAAACAGTTTCTTTCGAAACTATCAGCCTTTATTCATTTTTAATTTTTTTAAAAGTAGATTAAAGGTAAAGGCAGAATATTGGTAGAGATAAAAAGTGGAACAGCGCGAACATTAAACTTAGAAAAATTCATCAAGCGGACTACCCGTTTTTATTTTGTTTAGGTGCGTTTTGGCTGTCTGTCCCCAGGTAGTAAGGCCATATGGAAAAATAAGAGATCTATATATATATATTAAGCAAAGTCACGAAGGGAGTGAAGTGCCTTAATCTAGATATTAAACCTATATGACTACTGATCTTGGACGCGATTTGGCTGATATGATATTTCCAACTAAGATTACTATCCATTAGTGCCCCTAAGTACTTAACATATGCTATAAGTTCTATACTTATCAGTCTGTTACTTTGGTTGTCATATATATTAAGTTTAACTTCATAATCTAAGCGTTTTGGTATGGATGAAAGATAAAAAAAAAAATTAGTTTTCTTTATATTTAAGGNGGGGGGGTTGGTCCCCAGACTCCCTGGGACAACGCTCTGGCGCCAAAACTATTAAACACTAAGTGCAAATCACCAAATAGAAAATAAACGTCAATTGTAGGTGATTTAATGATGTCGTAGCTTCATGCAGCGTTTACTGTTGTCTTTTCAGAGGCAAATGTCTACTTTACTGTGACGCCAAGTGATCCTACCTATGTAAATAATGGAAGCGTTGCCAACCTGGCATGGAACTACGATGACCCAAACCATGATCTCGTCGGAGTCGTCTTTAGTGTTCTGGTTAAGGCAGGATTCAAAAGTATGCTAGTTAAAAAAAATGGTATTGTTAGGGAACATCAAAGTTTACCCTCTGCTTACAAAGGGAGAGTCAGGGTGGAAGGAAGAGCTACCTTGATCATTGAGAAAATAACTCCTAAAGACGACACTGAATTTCGATGTGAATTGGTTGATTACCTAACTAATCCTGAAAGCAAGGTTCATCTTATTGTAGCAGGTATGAGTTGTTAATCATTAGTTCTCATAAGAGATTAGTAACGAGTGGCATTTTAATGATCTGAAAATACTCATTCTTCTACTTTTTTGTATTTCAATTTCAAGACTTTAATTATTCTTATCTTTTCTAAATGTATTCTATAATTTTTTTAATATTTTGGCTATTTCTTGTGCTGTATAACAGTCTGTCAATCTTAGCTGGGACAAACAAAGTACTATTAATCCGACAAGTGCAAACGTACATTACAGACACTTATTGAGGTTTGTATATGCCAATGCAATTGAGCATTAAGATACTTGACACAAATGAAACTGCATTTGTATGAAAAACTGATATAGATAGGACATGTTAACGTAAAATAACATTGCGCTTTAAAGTGTAGCCAGGGAAACAAACGTGTATGCGCGAATTCTTAAGCAGAGAACACCAAGTTACACTTCAAGTGTACATTCACACTGACGTTTTGATACACGATACACCAGGCTACTTAAAAACTGAAGACGTCCAAAACCAAGGAAACTTCGCTCTTAATCCAAATTTCAGCAGTGCTTCAAAAAATTGCAACATAATTTCTTGTTGTAAAATTGAATTTATGGCGAATAATCGTGGTTTTGGATACGCTCGTACTACTATGATTATGTTGAATCATTCTCAGACTGGAAGACGACATCAGTGTAATATGATTCAGCTGCGTATTAAGTTAAGCTCTAAAACGAGCTATATTTTTCTAGATTTGTCTCACTCGCCGTCATGACTTTCTGGTTGGTATGGCTAGGGTCTGATAGCTGCTTTTCAGAGGATTTCTAACATGAGTTGTATCTTAAAAACTTTACTTGAGTTTGGTTTTTGATTGAGTTGAGTGGAACGAATTTTAAAGTCAGTCATAAGCACCTCGCGGACAAGCGTGACCACTAAAAATTGAGCTTGCAACTTTTCAACAGGGGGTCACATTATGCAAAATCAACTCAGGGCACAGCTTAATTGAAGGGATCCATTTCTTAATCGAAACTATTCTTTAGATATCGAAGTGATGCATAACGTCCAGGTAAAGGTGATGTGGGTGATGTTTGATTCTCATTTCGTATAAACAGGACCAGCTCCTTTTGACCACACAGTGATAGCTTAAAGTGAAAATTACCGATCAGAATCTGCATTTGGTGTTCGAAACAAAACGATAGTCAGTTAGAAAGTAAAGCGTAAGAATGAATCATTAAAGTCCAATAATATCTTCTGAACTAGCCATACATACACACTCCGTAGACTATGCTGCTATTGCAGTTTTGGAAGCGCGGGCAGTATGACGAGATAACTGCAGTCGATTAGACCACTTACAATTTAAAGAAAAAATCAATTGAAAGCAAATGATATTTCTACAGCTTTCCTTGCGTTTCTGTTTTACCCAGCTTTCCCAAGTTCAAGTGATCAATCGAGTCTAAACGGTTTTTTTTTAACGCATACCCTTTCTAATGGCGTACTGCAGTCCTTCTTTCATACTGAGTTTGCTCACAGGCCCGTGGCAGAAATGGTGACAAATTGGTTCAGAATCGACTCGAAATGATTAACGTAATAATGAAACTCACACTGGAAAAAACATTATGGATATCCAATAACACTGATCCCGTGAAACCGTAAATAAACATTTTGGGCGAAGTGAAGAATGACGAAAGTACTGCATTCCGTTAAGATGTTTCCGAAGAAATTATATTTCGTTGTCTCAGTGTCACGTTCTTGGCGGTGATCATATCTTGGTTTTAGTGTCCGAAGCGCTTATTGCTCATACACGCAAAGAATGGGTTATTAGCCATAACGCCTTAAATTTGTTCTTTATTTTCTTCAAACATTTCAATTTACGCACGCTTACCAAAAAAAATTGTGTACCGCTGAAAAATCCGCGTTAAGGAAAACAGCAAAAATCAACCAAAAAGGGGCAAACAGGCANTTATTGAAGAAAATAGAAACAGCAACAGGACAACGCGCCAATTCCGTTCCGCCTCGCATACTTCTGTCACTCACTCCTCGTAAATAAATATCCGCGAAATTCGTCTGCACTGAAATAACAGTTGTGCGTGTTGGATAATAAATAACTTATTACACGTTTTGTTGTGTAGTATCGCTCGTTATTTATATTTTGACTCGCCCTACGGGCTCGCCAAAATACGGCACAACTCGTAAAAATACTCAGCGGTATTACACAACAAAACGTCTAATAAGATGTACATACTTTAAATTGTATGGAACGAGATTTATTGTATTTTCTGAGCACCTCGTACTCGTCCGAACCTCGTAAACATGCGTGACTGCTGAAATCGAGCTTGTGACACCCTGAGGGGGTCACATCATTATTTACATAATTGAGGAACGCAGCTTTAAAGATCAAGGTTCCAGAAAAAAAAAATAGCCCGGAATTTTTTGTGATGTGCAAGGACCAGGTAATCGTTAGTTACTTTGCGACTGCTCTCTTATTCACTCCTCTTGCAGGTATGTGAGGTTTGTTTTGCTTTGTTTTTTGTCTTATTTTTTTTTCTTTTGAGTATTAAATTTGCGAGGCAAGACCCGATCCTTTTAACATGACATAACAGCTCCGAAATAGTAAAAGGCGGAAACTACAACTGGGAATGAACATTTCATGCTCTACCTAAACCTTATTCTGTCCAAAAACACAACGTTAGAACGACACCCGGCGGTATAGGACTACCTTGGTGTCCTGCCATACTTGCACACTCAATAGATTATATTTCCATTGCGATGTTGGAAGCGGCAGTGTGACGAGATAACAGCAATCAATTGTATTACTTGCAATTCAAACAAAGTCAAAGCGAAGGATGTATCTTCAACTTCTCTCGTGTTCCTTTTACGTTTTCACACCCATTTTCCCAATTCGAGTCTTCACTTGTGTCCGACTGCTCTTACAACAACTACGTCAACTTATTGCTGCACTACAATCTTTATTAACTCTGAGTGTGCTCATAAGCTAGTAGAATTGAAGCGGTACCGAATCAGTTCAGATTCGACTCCACTTGATTAACATAATGAAGCGTGCCACATAGGTAAAACATTTTTGTGAATCAATTAATCACACTGTTCCTATGTGAAGATAGTTTAAAATTGGGGCGAACTAAGGAATGCCAAAAGGCTCAACTTCTAATAAAATTCGCACATTCTTGGAGATAGAATGTTGTTTTGTCTCACTTTTGGAGGGGATCTGACATAATCCGCTAGATACACATTGATGTATTTTCAATCGCCATATGTATCTTGGATTTCGGGAAGGTATCGTTATATAGTTTTGCATCATAAAAGCACCACCTGAAAGCGTTTTGGTGGCTTTCGAACGCGCTGAAATATACTGCAAGAAATACAAAAATGTTCTTAGAGTATCAAAAGTTTGAAGTCGATTATGTTGGATGGCTTAAGATAAACCTGTCTTTTCCACACTTTTGTCACGGAAGCTTTTTTGGTAGAATGCCGAAACATTTGTCATTAGCGACCGTTTTCTCCGTAAAGCCGCCTCTAGGTCCAGCCGATGCGGCTGGGTTACCCAGGGTAAGCCACAAGCCTCGAACAAAGTAAAGAATTTCCTAATAAGAATGTATATCATTTGCCATAAATTTGTGTTTGCTCTCGGTATGATCAATTTTTCAGTGTATTCTCTTTTCGTCTTTAAAAGGTCCCGGTGCTTTGCCATTGCAAACTTACTGCGAACAATCATTGGCCAAGATTTTAACAGACAAGTCTGAAGATGAATAAAGTTAAAAAAATGTATATCGATCGAAAATGTATATAATCTTCTGCGGGAATCCTCCTTCCGAAAACTTACATTCGCTTTAATTTAGCCTCGTCGACTAATGACATACTTTCGGTCATGGCTCAATCAGACTAAGAAAGGTTCGTATTTCTTCCTAGAAAAATAAAGAGTAGCAGAAAGCGGCTTGGAATGAGGTGAACGACGCACAATGTAGTGTTAGTGACACATTTTAGAGTGAGAATGGCTAATCTTACTTTAACGACATGTTATAAGAAATGGATGCCATCATATCGTATGAACGAAATAAAATTAAAAGACTTTTCACAAATGAAAATGGGCTGCCTGGAGCAAGCGTGCGACTGAACTGATAGGCACTTTTCGATCAAAGAGAATTGCTATGATATCTATTTTCACGAGAGATTTCATAAGCATGTCGATTGATTTAAGAACATATCATGTATACTAAATGAGACTCCTAAAAAAAGAGAAACGGCTTCCTGGAGCAAGTGGACGCGCCTAATAGTAACAAATTTCAGTGAAATTCCAGCTCACTAGGAGGCTATATGGGTAAGATCATTAATTATGTAAGGTATCTCTTATTCGAACGGTGGTTCCCCTACTTTTTTGTTTTAATGGATGTCCCGGCGACCAGATGCAGATGTCCAGTTTACAATGATACCTTCTAGTCCAACCTAAGTTAATAATAGAAGCACTGCCAAACTGGTGTGGAACTATATTGACCCAGACAATGATCTTCAAGCCATTATCTTTAGTGTAAAGGTGGATGGTATTCGAGGAAAGTAATTTAAACGAATGATGTTTGAACAGAATGGTGTTGTCCAGGAACATCCAGATTTACCTCTGGTTTACAAAGGGAGAGTCAGGATCGAACGAAATGCTACCTTGGTCATTGAGAAGGTAGCCACCCAAGACAACACTGAATTTAGATGTGAAATAATTTGTTCCAAAGGTGATAGGATTAGTCTGGTTCAGGTTATTGTGGCGGGCATGTGTTAAACTTTTATCATACTGATTTATTTCTGAAAGATATATTATCAGTGTTTAACGCCTATGATTTTTTAAAGGACTTTAGTGAATCCCACATAGTTGCTGATTATGTTATAATTATGTGTGCTGAGAAGCCTGACCCAGAACGCATGGTGGAGAAAGGATGAAATCAATACATGCCACAGTTCCTACCTGGAGATGACGAAACGAAAAATTGAATTCCATGCAAAACGTTTTCAGTTATAAGCCTGGCATGCCAAATAGCACGCGTGTTTCGGAAAATTCAACGGAAGAG